ACCCAAAACCCTAACACCTAAACCCAAGACCCAAAACCTAACACCGGGTTGATACTGATATGTTGTTTGGGTTCATAGGGTTCAGCAGGGTTTATATGGTCTGAATATTGACTCGAAAACTCGACTTTATTTAGAGATATATTGATTATGCTTTCGATTTTGGCTTGAGAAAAGCCTACCAAATTTATTGATTACCTTATTGATTTTAAGGGTCCAAGAATCAATTACATTAATATGATATTGGACCTTGTAATCAATAAGCTCCAGAGCTTATTGATTATAAATACAATCAATAAGCGATGCCCAGGGTACTGCACGTACTTGCATTGCTCTGAACTCTGTTTCTCTCTTTATATTTCCCCTTATACGGCTACATGTGGGATACCCAGACTCTGAGAGAAACAGAGTTGAGAGCATAAACATCATGGTTTGCTGGGGAGAAGCCACATCGTTGCACAACCGAATCCCTGCTTCCAAGGAATCGCACTTCGTGAAGTAGGCACTGCTGCCATCTAGCTTGTTGCGTACCCCCACTTCAGAGCGCGTCCAATAGACTTCAATCCGGTAGTTCGCTTGGTGTTGAATGAGCCTTCCCCAAGTCTCAAACACAAGGAGCCCTGAAACATGTTTCGAGACATGCACTTGAACAATATCCCTGGATGTCAAGACCATGCGATGTATGATGCCTTCACAAATATGTCTCTACAGGTCCTCTAAGCACCCAGGGATCCATGCATGGAGCAATGCAGCAATGCAATCCTGAAGAAAGGCAATAGAAAAGAACACGCACACGTACATGGCAACATGTATCACGCGAATGTCCTCTTGAGCTGCTTGCGCTCATGATCTGTGGGGCCCTTTCGGACTTTGGCTGTGGGCGCTGGCACCTCAGCCTCAATCTCCCCATTCCCCTCTTTCACGCCAGCATCGGGCCCCGGCACACCCACCACTCCCAGCGAAGCCCCTGCATTTTGTGGTGGGGCACCTGCATCAGGCTCTGCCACCTCAACAGGCTCTGCCATCAGGCTTTCCCCCCCCTCCAGTGGCATCTCAGCCGCCTCACTCTCCTGACCAACCTTCTTGGTGCGCTTGGGCTTTGGCACAGCTTTCACAGCACTGGCAGGTCTACGCTTGACCCCCCTAGCTTTGCTTGGTGCAGCAGGCACCTTTGCTGGCGCATTTTCAGGGGTCTCCTATAGACTTGGCCCATTGTTTTTGGGTGGCGGGGTAACCGTGTCAGTGCTGTCATCTGCGGCTTTGGCAGACTTCCCTCTGCCCCGTCCCCGACCCCGCCCACGGCCCCGGGATGAACCCTGGACCTCAGCTTTACCCTCATCATCCTCCAGCCCATGCTCCTCACTGCGCTGGCCTTTCTTGCCTTTGCCCTCTCCTTTTCGCGCTTTCGCCTCTTCACGCTTCTTATCACGAGGTTGCTTGGGGGCGCGGGCGCCGGCAAGGCATCATCCAGGAAGGCAGCCTCAGCCTGCAGGTCCTTCTTCAAACTGGGATTCGCCCAGGGGTAGCGCTTGGGGCCTGCTGTGGGATTGGTTGATGCAGCCTTGAGGAATTCCTGTTCTAAGCTCCTTCGAACCTTGCTGTAGTCAGGGGCCGATTCCAAAAACACATGGTGCTTAGGCTTGGACTTTGGGGGGGTTGAGTCAACATCCTTCAAGCTCTGGGTGCTTTGGCCTCTGAGCAAAGCCGGCGGGGGCACTGGCTCATTTCGCGGCTCAATTTGCGCATGAGTGACAGTCCTTGCCAAATTGCCACCACCAACACCATCATCAGAATCATCATCCAAGATCACACACTTGTGCTCTGAATCAATGCCACACCGATGACCGAGGAGGTCGAAGTCATAGAACTGTGTTGGTGATCTACCACTTGGCGACCTAAGATTTCTTGAGATGAATCTACAAGGCTTTACCACTGCAGCAGATGCGTTCCATCGCGTGCTCTACTGCAGATATGATCCAACAAGCTGCTCATTGACTCCGATGACCTCCGAACTCGCGCTGAAATTTGTGTCGGTGGCATCATCCTGCATTCTCACTTACACGCACACAGACACACACACACACACACACACACACACACGGGCAAGAAAAAAATATCACACGCGCAAAATCACGGGGAAATCCTAAAGTTGAAGGCCTCAGGGAACACTGAGCATGTATCATAGCAGCTCATATCGAGACCGTGCTGCCTCAGATTACAGAATTGTTGGAGACCCACATGCCCACAGGCTGTAGCCCAGACCTGGAAACTCGCCCAATGATGCCAAGGTGCTGCATGTTCTGGTTCATAATCAGAGCTTGCAGTCTGCGAAGGGCGGTCCACTTTGCATGACCTCCCCAATCACAGGAAAAGAGAAATCATATCTCTCATGGTTAACATCTCCAATGGAATGCAGCGTGTGTAACCCTGAACTCTGCTGGATATTATTCGGGGAACAGCCTATGAGAACACGGAAATTTCAACAACCCCTTGAAGCGAGCACCTGCAGGCCCTGGAAGCGCATTCTCGTCCCCATGGGAGCTTGATGAGGGCCCGGGAGCATCATCGTCATCATCATCATCCAAGAGATAATCATCTGGGGCTCCCAACGATGACAGCACTGTCACAGGCGAGACCACCATCAATGATCGGGCGCTCATGCTCAGGCATGGTTGGAGGTGACTCAATTGGTACAACCACAGACGGGCCAGCTGGCTCAGGCTCAAGCTCAGCTGTCGCACTGCCGAGATCTTCTGAGCTGGTCAACCCTTCACTCGAAAGGCGTCCTTTCTTGACATACTTACCTCTAGCCTCCAAAGCAGCCTTTGAGAATCGGGGCTGAAGCGTCACATCAGCCTTGTGGATCTTCGATACCATAGCTATGCCATCATCAATTCGCTTGACCATCCTGCGCATTTTGGCCTTGCAACATGAGCCCAGGAATGTTCCAATATACGAGTATAAGTCGGGGGGGATGAAAGTATGGGAGCCTGGCATCTTACAAGCCAAGATGCAGTGAGCTCATTGACATCCTCATCTCGCTGTGTATCAGCACGGTCAGCCATTCCTGAGAAAGCGGAGGGGGGGGGTGGTACTGGGCAAATTGCAAGTTGGGAGACACAGCTCGCAAAGAAAGACTCCTTCCATCAAGTGACTCCTATGCAATAGGATAGCTTTCTTGATGGCATGCGCCGCCTCGTTGATGGAGGTGACCTCTGTTGCCTCTCACATAAGTTTGAGGATTTTTTTGAATCATAACATTAATGAATGATAGTTTCGCACACGTTGTCCCATCCACTCTACAAAGCTGGCCTCCCATTGCATCACTTGGTGCTGCAGCATCATCTCAAGCATGGGGACGCTGATGAGCTCATTATGTTGGAGGGAACGTCCAACAAGAGGGAGTAAGAGCACCTGAGCTGGTCCGCGCCTTCTACTTCTTTCAGCAAAAATCGAACTTCATGATAATCTCAATCAGATCTGCTGCTGTGGAGCTTTATTCAGTTTCAGGAAGAGTGCGCTAGGCACCTTCTTCTTCCCTCTTGCATCTGCTGGCCAAATCACAAACGACTTGTTTGCTTTGACGGTAGCCTCCAGTTGAGCATCATGATGCCAATCCTTCAGGGGTAAAGATTTCGAGGTTGGTTTAAAGTACTCGCTCGCATCTTTTGCAAAGAGCCCTGAGTGAGCACCTCAATCACATAATCTGCCAGATTCTCTAGAATCTGTTTGTCGTTGGCTACCGCAACTTCATCCCGAAGCTCGGTCATGGCGTCGAAACTCAGAAAACTTCCCAAACAAGTTCTGGGCCCAAAACTATGAAAGACAGCAAAACATTGTTTGCAGAGGCATGCCGGGCCACTGCTGCGAGCACAACAACAAAGCAAACAACTGAATGTTCCCGGCTTCTGAGCACCCAGCATTTAGGTGGCACAAGGCCACAACTCGGCAATCAAGATATGAACATGTATGCGTCAGCACCGTATGCTGGCCACACAGGCTTACAACGAGTCCCTGCCTCTCTGTGGCCTGAAATATCAGCTTCATTGAAACGTGTGCTCTGCATTTGCTGCACAGCTTGATCCAACAACCATGGAATCACAGCAATCGTGAGGCTCAAGGCGTCACAAAGTCTGGCACTGATGAGGAATTTGCAAGATCCCTGTCACACAATTCCAGAGTGCCCAAGAAACCAACTTATTGGGGAAACCAGAAATTTCTGGCTTCCAGAGCAAAGGAACTACAAAACCACCTACAGGTATGGTACATGAACCCAAACCCTAGGGATCCAAAAAGAGACCATAATCTTGACAACCACCCATATTATGGTACATGGCAGCATTCAGGCTACAGAACCCGCGGCTAACCACTTTTAAAGACTGCCATGCCAGACGGGAGGCCGAAGAGCTCCACTGTGCGGTTCCGAAGTGCCAGAGTTCGTTTCTTGATGTTCAGGAGCTCAACCTCAACGAGAACTCGCGGGATGGGCCAGTTCAGGACTGCTTGTTTAAAGTTCAGGGGGTAACGTAAAGGAAGGGGAGCAAAGCAATTCCAAAACCATGGAAGCACACGACAACATGCGATATTCTTCCACTGCGCTTCCTAGGATCTCGCAAGCTGACTTCCAACACTTCTCAAAGCTGGAAGCGCCGCAATGCTTCAGCATTTTTATCAGGCCCGATTGCTAGCTGGACCTCTTCGTGATTTACACCCAAGAACCATTCACATCTTAATGCGGCACCATACGGTGCACAGTCCAACAGAAGAGAATGCTTGCAGTCACAGGCTCCGCCACGTTCAGTGAAAGCTCCTTTGCAGGAAGCAATCCCAGCCTTTTCATCATGATGTGGTGCTCGACTACTTGCGCTCACGGGCAATAATACTTTTCAGAGTGCTCTTAAGCGCCTTGCATTGGATTCGCTCCCCATGGGCAAGCACATACAAGCGTGCTAACCCCACCCTTTCTCCTGAACATCTTCGCTGATCTCATCCTCGCAAAGGATCTCGTCCTTGATTGCCTGCACACGCATCTTCCGCAACGTGGTCCTGCAAGGGCGTTGAAATGAGCAGGCAGCTGACTTTCAGTTGTAGCATGCAAGTTCCCCTCCAACATACAAGGAAATCATGGAGGAGCTTCTCCTAGAGCCTCAAGAATGCGTTACTGGAGGGCAGGCACATCATGACTCGTCCTGGGCAGCTCGTGGAAGAAGAACCTGTGCGAGTAAAGCCTCTAGCATCTTCTAGCTTGTCCCTTTCTGCAACTGCGTGTGTGTACCGGCTTCTATTTGTAGTTTGGTGCCCTCTGAGGGCCGAGGATCTTGGACAACTTGGAGCCCTGTGAGGCTCCAATGACAGTTCCGGCGTTTGCCGCCGTGCCAAGGTGATCCGCTACAATTAATGTGCACATGTAACCGATGTAGTGGCACCCCTGAAATGTGTAGCCTCACAGGGAAAAGCCCACAATACCTCAACATCTTCGCGTGAAAGGCAGTGAGCTGCTATGCCCCTGCTGCTGCACAACATGACGAGGAACGACGTAGCGCCAAAGTCAGACTCCGTGTGATTGGAGATGGCCCGGAATGCCTTCAAACCTCCATGGCAAAGGAAATAGAAAGGATGCTCATACATGAAGGCATGCTAGCTCCCTGTTCTTTGTGATTTAACCTTATGCCATTGTCTCATGGCATTTCAATTCCCCGTGCAGCATCGCATCTTGCGATTCAGGATATAACAGGTGCTCTCCAATCGTGCTCTCGCATGAAAGACATAAATCACGTAAATCTCACACGGCTTTACGGCATGACTGTGCTGCAATCATTCCATGCGACCAGTATACACAACTTGCACCTGGTAAGCTTCCGTAGACCGACTTGAGCATCAGGGGCTTGGAGAGGTTTGTGGTGGCAGTCCATCCTGTTACAGAGCAGAGTATGGAGCTGGCAGTACGGCATGACGGCGGTAAGGGTGAGATCCAGATTTGGCTACCAAGGCATTTCTTCGAGGCTTTGCGTGTAAGACCTGTAAAGAGTGCCAAAGCTGATGGCAAAAGCAAACCTATACAAGCACGGGCTGAACATGCTTCAGGGGATTTGGTGAGCCTGAATGTAATCTACGAAGCTCGAGCGCACGACGCCCCCATTCTGACATGAGCTATATAGCCCTCACCTCCCAGTACCCCGCTGAATAACCCATCACACTTCCCTATACAATCCCTTTTTCTAAAACCCCTGACAGCAATTTAGACTATAGCTCACATAAGGCCTGCATAGGCCCGCAGCAAGATGAAAACAAACGGTGCAAATTCCAGCATACCATTCTAAGAGCTGTTTGAGAACCTCTTCCCCGTTGTTTCGTGAGACCTCTGGGGCGCCGGCCACTCTGCAGGGTAGACTTTGAAGTCTCTGCCAGCAGTGGCAGCCGGGATCTCTTTGTCCGCGCCAGCCTTGGCTGTTTTGAGGGAAATCCTTTTCAGACCTGGACATAGGATGGCCGAATAGAAAAGCCAGGGCCGGGTCTGCCACGCTTGTGCTTGGGCGCCGTGCGCGAGAATAACTTTTGGCGCTTGGGGACATGACAGCGTTCATGACCCTGCAATCATTCCCACATGCTTCGCCCTGCAGCTCACAGAAGCTTCTCCATCTAAGAATCTGAACACCAAACTTGCAGCAAAAAAGCTGTGTAAGCATCCCTCCTACACACAAGTTGCGTCTCGGTAACTCGTGGAGACGCTGAGAGATCTTGGGGGGCTTCTTTGGCGCCACCTCTGGTTGAAGTCCCTTGAAACAAATATTCTCATCACTCATGTCCAGTCTTGGAACTTCTCTAAGATTGCTGGCGTCATCACTGCTTACCAAGGTTTGTGTAGCGTGGTCTTACTTTGCCAAAGGCATCTCTGGCTATGTGGTCACCCCAGGCTGGCAAGCTCCCGGGCTCAGGATATGTGGTCAGTTGTGGAATGACGGGAGTGCATATGCAGGGACTACTTTGCTACCGTACTAGCATGCACGGACAAGTTCAAGGACTGTACAAATGGCGTATCGAGCAATTCAAAAGCTGTCTACCTTCTTTGGCACGAAAAAAAAACAAAGCATCTCTGCGGAGCCTGCTCCTGCTTCTCCGGCTTCTGCTCATCCTCGGAACTATCCTCCTCATCGTCCTTTTGGAGTCAAATTCTGTCTACCAGCTATGTTATTTGCTTGGGAGAGTTTGAGGGAATGTCGGAGCTGTGTAAAAGCGGGCCTCGCAGACCGTAAAATGTACTTATAAATTGAAAGGAATGCTGGAGGGCCGAAACTTATCAGTAGAAGATTTAGCAGGACTGCGGCCAAGGTGCCCAGAGATCAAGGAAGGCAATATCATGCAGCGTCACCGAGTCCTCTACAGACTTGCGCATGTTCTAGTTTTCGCTTTCGCTCCCGCCTAGCCTACCCAGCGATGCAGTGGAAATGATCTGGGTGCAGCACAGTCAGCTACCAATGCCCCGGTTTCAATTGCAGCAAGAAGGGCATCACATCTGCGAAGCAAAGGACAAAAAGATGCAGTATGGCATGCCAGCTTCTAATTAACACCAAGCACCCGCGCAACGCAGCATGCTGTGAGCAATGTTGAGCGGCAGGGGCAAACTCAAAAGGCCATAATCTTATGAAGTCTTCGATGCTTCGCATTTCCGGTCTGCGAGCCTGCCCACCACCGCTCAAGGTCGCGAAAAGGGCCTTGCAGTCCCCTCGAAAGCCATACCTGCAGAAGTTCAATGATTCTAGATAAGTTCAAGAGAGCTTGGCTCGGCCAGTTGGGGCTTGAACTGGCATCACAATACCAGCGGGCATTACATAAGAATGAGTATGGAAGATCATTGAACCAATGGGTTTGCTATGGTGGCCTCCCCAGGTACAGGTTTGCGGCGCGGCCGTGACTGCACTGCATGCACTCACGCTTTACGCTTGAATGGATACTCTGTGAATGAAAGCCGAGCTACGACCGGAGCATCTTGACAAACTCCCGATGCGTGAAACCGCCTGACTTGTCCTCCCAAAGACAGGGGTTGAAGTCGGTACAGGAGTTTGAAGTCATGAGCATCAACTTATATGACTACAGTAACTGCAAACGCAGCAAGACCAGCTAGGTGGAAAGAACGAGGTGAGAATTGGAAGGGTAGGCTCTGCAATTGTTCAGCAACCGGACATGACTGAGAGTCCCCTTGACAACACGCCACCGGGCACTGCATTGCATGCCTTAGAACATGAGAGATGGCTGCTGTTCCTGCTGAGCTGGGATGCGGTATCGGACATTGCTCGCCCCACAAAAGACGGCAAGCCAAGCCTCTACTATTTAAGGGCAATGTAATTTGAGGTTCTGCCAGCTCCTGACCCAATGCAAGGACAGAGCGCAGGGCGGTGACAACCAACACTTGTGCGTCCTCGTCCAAGATCTCGAAAGCTGCCCGGACACCCCCAAACTCCTTGCTTCACAGGCATGGATCTTGAGAAACTAGGTGCTGAGGCCCACGGCGCTTCGTGAAGCCATGCGCGCGAGAAAAACAGCATGAAAGCCAAATGTGGCACACATGCCCACTCGACACGACCCTAGCTACAGCACCCATAATGGCCTCAAGCAAACTCTCGTTCCCAAGCTAAGCAATGCTGCTGCCTGAATCCTGTGGGACATTCCTTTCTCTCTTTCTCTCCCTCTACAAATCCTAGACCCCGTATACTCTTCATCATCTGCATAGGCTGGAGCTCCTCGTCTGCCCAATTCTTGAACTCTTCCAAGATCCTTGTGGCACGGGCAGGTTGGACTTCGACCATATCTTTGTTGCTTTGGTGCTTCCATAAAAACCCATACTGCAGGACACCAGCAACCCCCTCGGCCTTTTCTATGCTTCCAATAATTTTTACGCCAGCACTTTTTCTTCCCAGGTTCTCAGATGAGACTGGATCCAGCTCACGGAGGGAGATGCTTCCAGAGACATCCTCACGCACAACATGTACTCAGGAATTCGCCCCAACCTTTACTGGAGGCCTGTCGCCGTGTCTACTGAGGCATGAAAAACCAGTTGCTGTGAATTTATACACGCACATACATGGTGTTCGCTCACAAGCGTGCTGCCACCTTGAGTACCTTCAGCAACTGCAAGCACATTTTGACTAATCCCTTTTCGCTTACGGCGGGAAGTATTGCGCTCACCAAATACAATCATACTCTCTGCCCCATTCACTTCATGTATAAACGACACCCATTGGGCACGACCCTCCCGTACAGGTCCGCATCGAAGCAGCGCCAGGCTCCAGCCAGGTCGCCTTCGAAGTCAATTCGCTGGGCCGCGCTCCTTGAGCAACGGCGCTCTCTGAGAAACTAAATCTATGGGCCGTTCCTTTTGCGGGATTGCACACTTTCTATAGGACAGGCACAGTAGCTGCCCCACTTCCACCATGGAAATGTATTTGTCACTAATGCCAACCCATCAATCAAGCTGAGCACCAGTGCTAACATACTGTGGCTTCCGCAGTCTTTGAAGGCGGTTGACCACAGACTTCCCTCTGTGCAGCCAAGCAACTCGAACTCGTCCCAAGCGACTACCTGTGGATGTTTGTTCGCTTGCTGCACATTGTGAAAGGACATCATCTTTGCCTTCCCGCTTTGGGTCTTCTCCGTTCCGCCAATGCAGCAGTCACGAGAATGTCTCTATTTCGGTGTTTGGTGACGTCTATAGTCTTACTTCTTACTTACTTACTTCCTAGAAACGATGGGAAGTGCTGATCCAGGTACATTGCTCCCATCCCGGTCCAGCAGCTGGCGCCAGGCAGTCAGGTAGGAAGGATACCTGCACCAGGGCATTCCAAGGCGGACTGGGGTATTGAGCAGAGTCAGAACCTGTCCAGCCCTCTGTGGGAATCAGTGCTTCTGCCAATAGTATCTAGTTGAAAGCATGTGTCTTGCGAATACTGCGGGCCCAGGACTTCCCCGGATGCTTTGCTTGCTAGTTTGCAAATGCCGGTATTGACCACTTGTAGCAGCATCTCATGAAGGATAAGTCTGAAAAGAAGCCCATGTCGAAAGATGCGAACCTGAATCTCCAAATCACAGAATATCACACTTCAAGTTGTAAGGACCGGGGCACTTGCGCAGAAGGTCTTCCTTGTACTCCTGGGCTGCCTGCAAAGGGTGCCGAAGAATGGGTCTTTTTGGTGGGTGGAGCGCGGTGCTGCAAATTGTGCATGCGAATGCAAGTACGAACAAACTTTAACTTTCAATTTAGAGAACCTCTTGTCGATGAGCCTGCCACTGTTCTTTGTGCGCAAGCCCTGGCACGCTTGATAACTTCAATGCCACGGATGCTGCCAGCTTAGCCGGCCAAGACGAACGCATGGCACTCAGCGTCCCACTTGAGGACTTCGTTGTGATGTCTAGGGCTTTGCCGATCTCTCTCTCTTGTCTTGTACATGAAAGGAAAACCTACACCAGCCTGCGGATTAGCCTTGCAGGTCAAATAGCGGGGGCAGCGCCAGGACTCCAGGAATTTGAAATCGTCGATGGTGAGCATATTCCTTCGTTTGACAAAATGCATTTCTACCCAACGGTGAAATTCGCGAGCCCCCAAACCTCCAGCAGTGTCTGACACAGCTTGGCACAAGCAAATCGCCCCTGGACAGTCTTCGGTATGCAGGGCTGCCAAACAAAAAGATCAGATCTCATCTTGCATCCGCAATCAGCAGCTACGCAGTTTCTCGGGAATCTGTTCTACAAGCAAACTCCAACGTTGAATTGCCAGGCTCCTTCCCTGCCAGTCCAGGCCATGGACCAACGCCTTGTCCACTCGCGTGAAGCCATGGCGCTTGCATTGCTGCAAAAACCTAGGCACACGGGTGCCCGCTTTTCGTTCTGTCTCGAAGCATATAACCCAAATGCCAAATGGCATTCGGCCTGAGACTGTCTTCTTTCCTAGTAGCAGACGCATACCAGGAGCATCTTTACACGGAAGTAACTGAGCCTGAGCTTTCAGATGGGGAAGACGAAAGTCAGGATCCGGGTGGCTCGGCCCTGGTAATCTTGTTCTTCTTGTAGACATCTATAGCCTTGAAGAACTCCTCCATGCTGCCGAACCTGGGGTTGGCTACTGGCCAAGAATGTTTCCATTCATGCTGCCAGCCTGTTGCTTTCCTATGATCTAATCCATGACTTGCACCCCAAAGGCCATGTCCGGAGCTACCGTCTTAAATATTCGTTGGAACATCTAAACACCAGCCCAAGCAGGGATTGGGAGAAAGCGCGCAAGAAAGCATGCAATCACACTGCCAAGCAACTTCTCAAAGCATTGCTGCCGAAACTTCGCGAGCTGTTCTGCGCTCTTGAGATCCAGCTCCTGCAACTTCAAAATGGAACCATGTTGTGCAAGCAACGCCGCAAAACAAGGAAATACAAAGTGCAAGGGTGGAGCGACAAGGGTGAGCTTGAAGATCCCCCTTCAGCAAAGGAGCGGCAGATCCTATACAACTGCAGAGGACCGAACAGAATGCAAAGGTGGTCAGTGGAATTTGAGATGACTTTCTACAGCCTGCTGCTCTCCTGTAGCGGGGTGATTCCGCTGCCATCCTTGTCCAGGCCCTTCCAAAGCAGCCGCACATCGCCTCCACGGTCGGAGATTCTTGGTATTGACTTCGCAGGCTTTGGCCTTTCGGACCGTGGTGTTTATCGTTGAAATGAAACAGGACAAATCCTGCACGTGAAATGTTATCTGCCCCCGATGACCTCAGCATACCTCACCCAATCCCCCCCCCCACATTTTCAGCCCAGAAGTGTAGCCCCGCACGTGCGCACGTCTTAAATCACCTCGCGCTATGGGTTACAGTATCATGGTCGTCTGACCACTACAACTGGTCGCATCTGATTATTAGATACGTCCTTGCCATGCCCGCACAAGCCATAGGCCACCTTGCCAGCTGAGCTCCTTCACCGCCCGAAAGAGCTCGTTCTTCTGGATGAACATGGACCTACTGTGAGACAGGCGGCGGAGCTGTTGGAACTTACATATTGCAAGTGGTGCGTTAAAGTAGAGGCTCAAGGGGTTGCGCGCTACACATTTCATGCAGCCTTGCTGTGAGACCACGGTATGTGCTGAACAGGTTACTGCAAATCTGGCATATGTGGTCTCCCTGCTTGGGCGCAGTGATGTGTTTATTTCCAGGCTGAAATAGCATGCTGTGCATGGAGCAATGGCTGCAACCACATTAGTTACTCATTGCCAGATGGGTATTGTCATAGTACTGATGCTAATTAAGACCGTTTTCAGCCCTGTGGCATCCTGTGGCAAGGATTCACAAAAAGCACGGCAGCTTGATAGCCCTAAATCCACCTAGGAAGTTATATCAGTTATATCACAAAACACCTAGTGGTGTTGAGAAGAATACCCCAAAAAGGATGTTGTGTAAAAGGGGAATGTTGGATATGTAATCTGGTTTTGCCCTCAATGTCTTGACATGGAATCTGACGAGCCGGGGTGCCCGTCAGCATCCAACGTGTAACGCCAAGCTTTCAGGTAGGTCGAGAATTTCCTGGGATAACCGATTCCGAGGGGCAGCTGCCAAAAACAAACAGTACCTACCATGCGGTATAGATTGCAGCGCCTCATTACCGATGTACCCCGCGACAATATATATAATGGGTTGTGCAAGGCTTGAAATGCGTTGGAAAAGCCACCAGGCTTGTGAATGTCCACCTGCGTCATCTTTCGAATAAACTTTGATGTGATCTATTTGATGCGAGCGGCTTCTTCAGAAACGCCTTGAAGTCCTTGACCTACAGGCCACGCTTGCTGTCATTCCATGACAGGTGCAACAGTTGCCGCCATGGTTGGTTTGGTTCTTGCAATCTGACAATCATTCCTGCTAGAATTGCGCCTTTTTGCCGCTATGGCAGTAGATGCGTGCGAGTCACAGCTCGGGCCACCATCCGCCGACGTTTGGCCAGTCGCGCTTTTAGCTTCAGCGCATCCTGCATACCTCGTCTAGGCAGTAAGTCCTGTAAGAAAGGAATCGTGGTCGACTGAGTTGTTGCAGGAAGAAAGGAAAGTTCATCTTACTGTAAAGGTTTTTGGTGCTTTGCGTAGCTCTGCTAGGAATTGAGCAAACAAGGGTGTGGGTGCCTTTATCAGCATTGGACAAGTAGAAGAACCAACCAAGGGAACAAGTCACAGACAACAACCGCAGAACCGGCAAACTACCCTACCAAGCACCCAACAGCTCACCTAGAGAACCTTGCGTGAAGCAGGATCGGCTCATGAGGACAATACTTACTCTTGCTGCAGGCAATCCGCTTTGTATCCTACGAGTAACGTGAAGACGGCACGAAGTTCATGTGTTTGCTCAAAAGGTACCGACTCGGCCTGGAAAAGTGGGCAACGATATGTTGTCCAAATACACTATGCTGGCCAAGCATGTCACCCTCCAAAAGAATCCATGTTGAAGCCTCAACTCCCCAGGTATCTCAACTGCAACGAGGGCTGCCTTTTCTGGCTTTCACCAGCTTCTTCCGATCCACATTGAAGAATCTCAGGTCCTGACAGGAAGGAGAGGTCAAACCACACTCTAGCATAACAAGGTCCCATTCCAGCACGACTAGTCAGAATCTGCCTGTTGAGCCGCATTGCAATCCACCAGCACAAGAGGCAGGCTGCACGGTCTTTCATTCACAGTAGCGGTAGTCTGAGGCAAAGCACTGCAAAACTCTGGCGGCCAGAAGGTCCATTCCACAAATGCCCTCCACACAAGTTCATGCAAATTAAGCTGTACAAGCTGCACTCCATATAACCACTGCACTAGCACTCTGTGCACGCCGCGGCGCCGAAAACTCGAGCTCATCGTGATCGTCCAAGTTCAACGCTTCGTATAGCATGTCCTGAACCACATTCTCATTGTTCAGCGGGCACGTGCAGCAAAAGGGGCGCAAGAAAGGGACTTGCTTGCCATAGTTTCTGACTGCATCAGGGTCTTGGCCCAATCCAACGCTTCTAAAGGCCATGAACGGTGCCTAGAACACCCGGCCCCCCCAGCCCCCTACCAACTATGTTTGCTTAAATGGCTAGTATAAATGTGGGGAGGCGGCATTAGTAAGCAAAATAACAACAAAATGCTTTCCACGCAGGGCGCCGCTTAGTTCTCGAAGGCCTGCTTTGTGAGCCTGACCTGGACCATGGCTCCAAGAGATGCCAACGTGAACACACTGTCATCAAAGATTTCGGGGGCACAGTCAACAATGCGGGCCAAAATGGCGGCCCTATGGATCCACAT